TGTCTTTTTTCTTTCTCTCCCTGCCTCGCTCTGCCTCCCCTTCCGCCCTCCTTTTCGCCGGAATAACCCCTTCCTTCTTTCCTCCCCCGACCGAGCAGCCCTCTCCTCGCTCCGTCGTCCGCTCGTCCTCTCGCGCCGTCGGCACCGGCACCGTCGACGCCGTCCAGAAGGGAACCAGCGAATGCAGGGAATCGTACGACGAAACGTCCGACGACGAGCCGGTCGCTCCGGAGACGGGGAATTCGCGGGGTCGACGAGGAAACGCTGATTTCGATTGGCTTTCCGTCGCGAGGATTTCCACGGACGGAGGAATCGTCGGCGACCGGTCGATCGCGACGATAACGTTCGCCGAGGATACGTCGCGGCTTCGTCGCGCTCCGAGCGCGCCCTTGGTCCGGTCGTGTTGGTTCGGTACCGACGCGAACGCCGGAAGATACTCGGTTCGCGGAAACACCGGCGGAATTGATCGACTCCGCTCCTGCGGCGGGATACCGTCGTCGACGTCGTTATCGGTCACCAGTGCTGCCCGCGACTGGATTCCCCTCTCGCGCGTTCGCCGATAAATGGGTTCGGAATGCGTCGAAAAGAGCGAGTAAGTTCGACGTCGAGATCGGGCACCGATTAGGGTACGTCTCTCGAGATTCGTGAAAAGAGGAACCGAAGGAATCGAGGAGGACGACGGATAGAGACGGGATCGGCGCACGGGGAACATAATTTCCATCGTTTCCACAATTTCCACGACGATCGATTGCCGGCGGGCCGCCGCTGCACCGCTCGACGGGGAAACGTTGCAGCGGAAAAGCTGAATCGCGGAGAAAGCGCTGGCTCGTCGGAACGCGGACCGCGGAACATCGAAAGCGTCGCGGCGCGCGGCGAGCCGTGCTCGTTCGAACACCGCGGTGTGCCCGACTCGATTATCCGGGATAATAGCCGGACAAATTCGACGCGATAATCGAACAAAAAGAACCGCATGTGCGAACGCGCGACGAAAAAACGAGTACGTGCTCGGAAATCTAAACGTTGTTACATGCTCTCGCTACGTGACTCATTGTGTGTTCCGACAATCGGCGGTTTAGATAACCGGTACTCGGGTAATCGGCGTTCCGTATTCGGCACGGCCGCGGCACCTCGATCAACCGTTGTTTTCCATCGTTCGGAGTCTTGTTCGACACTCGAACCGTTTCCGGTTTCTTCTCGCGATGAATGATTCTTTGGGAAATTAGTAGACGAGCTGATTTGCCGATGGAGATCTGTAGAAACCTTGGTAGCACTTTTGGAGCTTCCATAGAGAAATTTTGAGAGTCTAGCAGTTTATACTTAATTTTGATTAGACTGTGCTTAAATTTTGAGTTTCAACCCCTTGGTTCATAATTTCTTTCTCAACTCTGATACAGCTACTTTGTCATTAATAATTCTTTGTCATAATAATTAATAATTCACTGGAAAAAGAGAAAAATCCTGATAGAAACCTCGATAACTGCACTTTTCGAGCTTCCACAGAGAAATTTCGAGAGTCTAGCAATTTATACTCAATTTCAATTAGATTGTACTTAAATTTTGAATTTCAACTCCTTGGTTCATAATTTCTTTCTCAATTCCGATCGATACGGTCACTTTATCATTAATAATTCACTGGAAAATAGAAAATAGAAAAATTAGACTAAATTCTGCGTTTCAACCCCTTGGTTCCTAATTTCTTTCTCAGCTCTGATACGGCTACTTTATTAACAATTCATCAGAAAAAGAAAAATTCGAATAGAATCCTCGACAGCTGCACTTTTCGAGCTTCAACAGAGAAATCTCGAAAGTCTAGCAGATACTCAATTTCTTAGACTACACCTAACCCCTTGGTCTTCTTTCTCAACTCCGATACGGCTGCTTTATCAACAATTCCTTGTAAAAACATAAGAATTCTAAGCATACGTTACGCCTGTATTTCCATTTAAGCACAACAGTCGATTACAGAGGATTAACATTTACTTTAAATTCGAACCGAGTACAACATATATTCGCCGAGTCGCATCGAAGATCCCCGCGTCTCGTTGTCGTAGGACAAGGAGCTAAACACCGTCCTCTCGGGTTTCCATTTATCTAGACCGGCGGTTACTGAATTACATCTGATAACCGGCGCTCCGCTATTAGCCTCGAACTCGCGAATAATCGAGCGGCGACCGGAAGAGAACGGGGGAAGAATGGAATGGCGCGGTGCCGGCGACGCGACTGAAAACCGTGCGGTTTTCCGCGTCCGCGCGAAAGCGAGCGAAACTTTCGTACCTTTCGCTCGGCTCGACCCTCGGTTCGCGTTGAACCGTCCCGCCTGCACTCCGTATCCTCGGGACGCATCCGTCTCGTCGACGTCGACGTCGGCAGCGCCGTAGTCGCTTAACGTCGCCGTCGATGTCACCTTGGCCGTCGTTGATTAGAATCGCGAGCCGATTACGAATCTCTCGCCGACTCGTTCGTTAGACCGTCTTCTTCCGTTCGCGCAGCCGCGGCCGGCGGTTTTCCAACGGCGAGATTAAGAAACCGGAGAATGACCCAGTTGAACGCCGGACGCAAAGCTCTCCGATATTCGAACCGTTTATTTTGAAAGCGGCTGAAATCTTGGAACGGATTAGAAAAGTATCAAAGAATAAAAGGAATATGTGGAATCGTAACTGTTGTAATAGTTTACTCGATTTCTTTGAAAAATCGACGCAAGACACACGCACACTTTCAAAATAAACGGCTCGCAATTTAGGCGTGCATGAAATTTAAAAATATACCTCGGAACTTTTTGCCAATACTTAGATACAGGTCTTGCACTGACGTAGCTGTGCGTGGCTGACATTGTTCTAGAAAAATTTTAGACGGGGCTACGTTACGAGCATTCTTCTGGGAAAACACGATGCGGGACTACTTCCGAAAAATCTCGAATGACGTAGAATAGTTACGTTCGTCAGGGTTCGAATATTGGATGCGTTAGTTGGACTGAATTTCGAGTGACGTGGACCACTTTAGGTGTTCGTTTGAGAGAATGTTAACACTAGAACTAGCGAGCATTTAATACGATTAATATGGAATTTCTATAAAAACTAACAATAGATTATTTTCTTAGACAGTTTCTTTAGGCATTCATTATAGTAGTCAAATGAAACTATTTTCAGAATCATTTTGAATATTCAACGCTTCGGAGATATCAATAATTGCAAAGCAATAAAATAGATATTCCTGAATATTAATAAGTATTCAACGCTTCGAAGATATCAATCATTGCAAAACAATAAAATAGATGTTCTTGAATATTAATAAGTATTCAACGCTTCGAAGATATCAATCATTGCAAAGCAATAAAATAGATATTCTTGAATATTAATAAGTATTCAACGCTTCGAAGATATCAATCATTGCAAAGCAATAAAATAGATATTCTTGAATATTAATAAGTATTCAACGCTTCGGAGATATCAATAATTGCAAAATAGTAAAATAGATATTCTTGAATATTAGTCATTTTGGGTGGTACGGTGGTTCTAGTGTTAAACAGCGTTACCAGTCGTGTTAATTAATACCAGTTTTATAGACACTTAATGCGTTGGTTCTGTCGTTGTTAGAAGAGACGTTCTTATATTTCAATGTTGGAACTTTAAAAATAGACGACTAGGATACGTATTCGTGTAATTGCGATCGAAATTACCAGTTTGTTCTATCGTTGTTATAAACATCGATGTTCGTTCATATAGCTCTTGGAAATGAGAGGTTTAAACGCAGGCAATTAGGCTACTTACGTAACTGCGCGAATCAAAATCGTTGGAAGCATTTGCGAAGAAATGTTTATAAATGAACTTCTTTCGTAAATCTAGCGTTAACCCTTTGCACTCGAAAATTATTTTCAGTATCGAAGTTCAATTAAGGTAATCATCCGTGAAACGTTAAAATAGAATAGATCTATCTATCTATCTATCTCTATAAAAGGGTTAATTACTAAAACAGCAGATCAGTAGTTTCCCTTTCCCAATGATCTAATAATTCCAGGCTAGTTTCTTTGATTCATCAAAATATTTTATACTATAACTGTTGCAATATCGAAGCCTGAGTTCAAAGGGTCAATATTAACATGGATCCTACAGAGTTGAAAGGGTTAACACCTTATTCAACATTTTCCATCGAACATTTTATTTTACAATTCTACTGCGTTCAATCGTCCGATTAAGAGTCTCTCGAGTGCAAAGGGTTCAACCGCGAACAGCACCGCGACGTCCCGTCGGTGACGATGCGAATCCCACGAGAATCGCCGCTCGGCTCGACGATGACCGAGGAAAACGAGCGGCGGCGAATCGGCGCCGGTCGGTTCGCGTCGCCGTTGGAAAGCGCGGAGGACGCGCGAAAAATCGCGCGAGCGGCAAGGACGAGTACTTTGAACGCGGAAATTCCATTACAACGAATCCAATAAAGACGGCCGCGCGCGCTCGCTCGCTCGCTCGTTCGCTCGCCGCGTACGCAAGAGGTTTCCTTTTCGCGGACAAATCCGCGCTTCCAGCTTTCCATCGATTCCCGTCGCATCCGTTGACCGACTGCCGGAAGCGGCCTGGCCGATCGCGGGCAGCGAGGTGGGAACGAACGCGCGACTTTGCACGCTCGCAGATTCGCTCGTGTCCCTTCCACGTCCACCGCCCACTCCGTTGAACTCTCTTTTCCGAACGCTATTGCTGCTCCTCGTTTCGCAAGCGAACCACTTCCGCTCTTCGTGCATCCGTTCGAGTAACTTCTCGTTTCGTTTCCGCGACGAAGATTCCCAAGTGAGAATGAATCGGTTTTATTCTACGTAGAATTCGATTGGTACCTTTAACGATGGAATTGATAGGTAACCTCCGAATGCCGATGTGGCAGCGAAGTGTTTTAGCTTTTAGATTGTGGGTTTAGATTCGACGAGTTGGGAGGAATCGTAAATAATGCAGAGTCATTGGTGAACTTTTGCAGATTTCTACCGTTTGCACTCGGCGGTTCTTCACTGGAAATGTTTGAACGTTTTCTGATGAGATATAGATGATGTTTTGTGAACTACTAGATTCAAAATAACTGGACAACTTGATTGAAGGCTTAATAAACTTATGGTTTTTATACAGAAACTGAAAGTCAGGTGATCGGTAGTTCTATTGTGAACTCGAGAAATCAGTACATCGAGAAACGAAGCGTTACTAGATTCAAAATAACTGAACTCAATTGAAGTTTTAATAAACTTATGGTTTTATACAGAAACTGAAAGTCAAGTGATCAGTAGTTCTATTGTGAACTCGAGAAATCAGTACATCGAGGAACGAACCATTATTTCAATATTTCCGCTATATTCTAACAAAAACAAAGCTTCATTTCGAATTTCTCAAATCTCTCAAGTATCAAAATCTACAGTTTCACCGTCTAAAATCACCTGACCGAGTCACCCGGCGAGTGCAAAGGGCGAGTCACTTAACCGGCTCATCGAGACTGTTTCCAATGTCAATACTGAAACACTCGGATAGTTGTTCGTGCGTTCAATCTGCAATTCGAAGACACTTAAAGTGTAGTTAGTCACTGTGCACCTCGTTCGGACCGCCTGGTACCGCTAGGGTAATCGGCAGGCTGCCATTGTCAGTCTCGCCGATCGTCCATCTTCGCGTTCGTCCCCGCGTCCCGTGAACTTTTCCGACGGATCGGCTCCGCGTTCATAATTCGGTCGAGCCGCGGTCCGCTCGGCCGGTCGTCGTTCGCTCGTCGCGTTTCCGCGCGTACGACAGCCCGCGCTTCTGGAATTACTCGTAAACCGGTTCCGATCTCGACCGTCACCGCGCTTCTGTTCGCGTTCTTGCCTTGCCTCGCCGCCATCGCCGCCTCCGCCAGCGCCTCCGCCTCCGCCTCCGCCTCCGCCCTCGTGTTTGCCTTCGCCTTCGTTGCAGCCACTTTTCTTCCGCGTCTTCGATCTCCTCGATCGGAGGGACCGGCCTCGCGATCGTTTCCGACGTTTCGATCGCGAGAGCCAGTCGATCGAACACTTAACGCATCGCGTACCCGGCTAATTTTCAGAAAACTGAATTGTGATGGCAGTTTTCACAACTTATATCGCTATATATAGAAAAACTCAGATATCGTATTGTTACGTAATGTATTTTAAATAGATAATCAATTTGAATTAAATTTTATATTTTCTCAATGCTGCGGTAATTAGCGAAGTTGCATAGCTAAGTGTCTTTATATAAAAACGAGATTTCTCGTTACCTCAAATGTTGCAATTGCATCGAAATGGAAGTGGTTCAAAATGTATAGAAAATTAAGAAGCTACATAGCCACCAATTATTGCACTCGTAACGTGTATCTTTCCTCTTTTTTTGCGATATACAAATGACACAACAGGCACGCACATATGCGCTTATGATGTAAATAGGTTAACTCTTCATTTGCATAGAATTCGCTGTAGCAATCCGAGAAACTTCATTGCGAGACTCAACTTCTTATTAACGAGCGTCGATTTGTAGAATCTTTCGTTTTCATTCATTCACGCATTTATCGTTGGTTCGTTGCATTTCCAACTGGATGAGAACGTTTAACCGTTTGGATGCTAAACAATTTTTCTGGAAATCTACCAAAAGTGCGGAAGTGATTGGGCGTGTAGGCAAAAAAATTAATAAGAGTACTTATCTAATGAGATCAAAAATATTGTGTTATTACAAAGAAATATCAAAGAATAACATTTATTCGAATAAATTTACTTCGATTTATTTCTTGAAGTATATGACACAAGAGTGCGAAGAATGGTACAGTGTTTAACCTACTAAACTCCAAATAGTTAAGTTAGTTTTACTACAGATAAATACAGAAAAAATTGTTAAAAGGTCAATTTTTTGAGAGTCATTGAAATGTTACTTTTAAATGGTACAATTGTGATACTACAAATATATACAGAAAAAATTAAAAGGTAGAGGTTGCATAAAATAGAACATCGAGTCTGACACAGGACTGCTAAAGGTTAGAGAATCTTTGTAAAGGGTTAACGTTCAAGGTCAAAATTTCAACATTGTCTTCGAAGGTTGCAATCGAAGCGAAAGCCAGCGAAACGGCGCTGCCGGTGGCGGTGGCACGCCGCTGGAAACGGCAACGATGACGATGACGTCGGCGACGGGTGACGTTGACTGATCCGGTGAACGAACGAATCGATCGCGTTCGACAACTTCTGCCTTCGATGAGTCTTCTATCAGCGCGATAGTATCAGCGAGTCCACAGACCCCTGGCGATACCAGCTGCAACGCCAGCGGAACGGGAAATTGTTCCTAACACGTTAAACGCCACGAAAATCTTAGGCGTTTTCCCATAGAGTTTGTCTTTCGTAGCAGAGAAAAGTAGAAATACTTATGAACATTTATTAAACATTTTTATTTCACATCGGTTGTCTTGTGTGTTACGATTGCTTTTTAGTCATTCAGAAGCGTCAGTTACCAGTGGCTGACATGGCGCTTAACGTGTTAATGAACGCAGCTCATACTTAACACTGGAACTACCGAAAATTTAACCCTTTGCACTCGGAAGTATTTCGCGAAAACAATTACAGGAAGAAAACTGATGACATATCAGAATATTTAGTTACGTGGATAGCTAAATAATAGTGTAACTTAGAAACTATGCTAAATCGTTAATAACTAAGTCTAATATCATTTATTTTTGTTATGATACAAGTAGTTATCGTATGTTATCAGATGCCGTATCAGAATCTTTAGTTACGTAACTTAAAAACTATACTAAATCTTTAATAACTAACTCTAATACCATTTGCTTTCATTATGATACCTTACACGAAACGCTGAAAATTCTGATGACGGTGAACACGTTAAACGAACGATACCACTGCATCGTCTAACGATCGCTCGCTACGAATGCTTTCAGGACTCCGAGCAGCTGACCACTTTCGCCCATTTGTCCGATTTCGTGGTGTACAAAATCACGAACGCGAAGTGGCGTTTTCACGCGCCCTTCGAGTGGGGCCTGTGCCTCAAGCCGTCCAGCAACGAAGAAACCAAAAGTACGGTGGCAGGAGAGCCCGGACTCAAGGTCGTCGCTTTCCAGACCGAAAAGTCCCGCGTTTGCTGGCTCACGGCCATGAGACTCGCCAAGGTAACCGGAATCTCGATGCACTTTTGCCTCCATTTTCCTTCCGCGTTGCTTCACTTCCTAGCCGCGAGTCGCTGCCTCGGCCGCGGACGTTACGCGACGATCCTCCTAAAACGATCGAACGCCGAGCATCGTTCGTCCGCGAACCTTCGCGAGCAACGCCGGTTTTTAACCCTTTGCAGACGAATGTCGACATTTCGATGAGATGAAATATTCATATTTGGAAGACTGAGTCGCGGGAAAACGATTGAATTACTCGGACAGCAAGAGATTAGCGTGTAGTTTCTGTTTTCGCTATTATTTAAGCAATTAATGTATAATTTAGCTTCATCCGTTGAAGATTTTGTACATTTCAAAGAATTTTCATCTTCGCGCCACGTGAACAATCATCGAAACTTCCGTGTACTCGAAACGGTTCTCTTCATTATCCAGAAATTGAGAAGCTGAGACTCTAACAATTGCTCCACTATCATTCTTATATCTCGTATATCCAACAAATGACGCGGCAGTCGAATGTTAGGCGGTCTAAATGTTAATTCACCGTATTGTTAGTTGACGTGCTCTGGTTTCGCAGTACGGCAAGCAGCTCAGGGACAACTACAGAGCCTTCAAGAACAAACAGTGCGAGCAAGCCGGCGGGGATGCCATGAAGGAACGATACTCCACCTACAACGCGTCCAATGTGAGTCTCGTCCGTTTCGCACGACGGTCCGGCCGATCGGCCGCGATTTCCGCGACGTTGGGAACGATCGCGCGCCGAAACGCCGCTTTCGAAAACGGAGCAAAGACCCCGAGGCGGCCGGCCGTTGCTACGCGCGGCCGGCTATCGATCATCCGGAGGCTACGCGAGCGTCGCGTCGCTTCGCCCCGTGTCCGCGCGCGCGGCGGGCTAGGAACCGATCGCGATTCGATACTCGCGTATCGCGAGCTCTAAGGCTGCGATTACGCTGACTGTGTGTTCGAACGAACCGCCGTTCCGACGGATAAATATTTAAAGATCGCTGCAGGGCAAGCCGGGGAGAGATAGCCCACTTCTCTTCGAGGAACTGTTACATCAGAAATATTTCAGAACCCATCGGTTTTCTCGATTCTTCGGTTTCTTTTCTGGACTTAGCGCTAGAACTACCTAGCAGTCAAATTGATGGTTTTTAAATTTTCTGTGGGAACTCTGAGACAGCTATTGAGATTTCAATTAAGTTGTGATCAGTTTGCCTGTTACTAAGGCAGTTCCTTCGGTAATTTAACAAAGGAAATGATTGCAAAAGGAGAGTTCGGGAGTTCTAGTGTTGACCTTTTGCACTCGAGAGGTGAACCTCAGTCACCGCTTGATTTATTCAGCGAAACTATGAAGTTGGATATTTAGTTTTCATCGGTTTTCTCGATTCTTCGGTTTCTTTTCTGGACTTAGCACTAGAACTACCGAGCAGTCAAATTGAAATTTCCCAGTTTTTCTGTAGAGTAGTGTAGTAGAGTTTCTGTAGTGTTTCTATAGGCTCCAATATTGCACCAGTTAGAATATTAAATATTTCAACGAATCATAAAGAAGCTACCCCAAAATTATTAGATTCTCCCACATCTAAACTTTGTACCAACAAGAAAAAAATCCAGGAAATGTTATAGTATTTCTCATTTTCGCTAATACTATAAAAATTAGTTGCTGATAGATTACAAAACAACCTAAAGTACAAAGGGTTAATATACTGTCCTTCCTTCTCTTTTTTCGCATCGTCGCGACGCGTCGGTTTAAACGAATAATCGCGAGGTCGTCGATTCGTCGCGTTGACCGTCGGGACCGGCGGAAGAGCGGTTTCCTAAGTTTCTAACGAGCGATCTGCGTGTCGATAGGAATCGGTGCGGTCGCGCGTGGCTATGGACTTCACGGGAAGCGTCGGGAGGATCGTGGAGGATCCAAAGGAAGCGAAGGATATCGCGGAGAGCGAGGGGATCGATTGGAGGCGAACCTGGAGGCCATTCTCGAGACCACCGCCAGGCTGCGCGGTGGTCAGGTTGCACGGGCTCGACGACGGTGTCCACGTTCTGCAACCGTGGTTTCACAGGGGCCTGAAGAGAGACATCGCGGCGGCTATCGTCAGGGATCACGGCTCCGTGGACGGGTAAGCCGGTCGCTTTTCCCTCAGCTCGATCTACACCGAGAGACGAACGAGTTTTCAAGTACAGCAGGGACCAGTGAGCTCGTGGCTGAAATTAGTGGAGTTGCTACAGTATTTGAAAATTTGTAGCTTTCGTTTTAATCCATCGCTGATATTTCACGTAGATTAGACTGTCACTTTTAGAATACCAAATAGCAAATGAATGATTGAACTACTCGAACAGCAAGAAATCAGTACATTCCCTTATTCTCCATTATCTAGGCATTATAACTACTTTGACAGAATCTGCCAAAGGTTTCGTATACTTTAGCCCTTTGTGGTCCAAAGTGCTCTTGGGCAAAGGGTTAACCCTTTGAACTCTGTAGGCTCCAATATTGCACCAGTTGTAATATTGAATATTTCATTGAATCTCATCGTTAAAATTATTCAATTTTCCACACATCCAAATTTTCTGCTAAGAAGGAAAATAAAAGATCGAAGAAATGGCATTTCTAATTTTCTCTAGGAACACTATAAAAATTAGTTGCAGATAGATTACAAAAGAACCTGGAGTGCTAAGGGTTAACCCCTTGACTTACAATTTCTTTCTCAACAAAGATCAACACAAGTTCTAGGGATATTCTACATCTACGTTTACTCTAAGCTATAACAATTCGTAACAGAAGAGTACTCAATTGTATTGACAAAAATTAACAATTATATTCGTTAAATTCTGTTTAAAATGTTCACCACGAGTCTAACCCTTTGTTACATGGCACGAGGTTAAAATCATGGAAATCTTAACATCTGTCACTGCCCCTGTCTCAACCTATAACTCATCGATCTCTCAATCCAAACTAAACCTGCATCATTCTTCACCTTCCAGGGTGTTCCTGGTGCGCGAGAGCAAGAGCAACCTGGGAGCCTACGTGCTCACCTACAAATACAGCGACAAAGTGTTCCACGCGCAGATCCAACCGGTAAGCCATCTCCAGCGAGAAACACCCAACATCCGCCAAGGGCAACCGACTAATCCACAAACCTTCCAGGTCTTCGACGAGCGCTGCAACTGCTGGCTGTACACCCTGGACAAAGGAGTGACGAAGTTCTACGACCTGCTGCAGCTGATCGCGTTCTACCAGTTGAACGCCGGCTCGCTGCCGACGCGGCTGACGCACTACGTGCAGAACGTGGTGCCGGTGTCGTTGCCCGGCTCGGAGCGCGAGGCCTCGTCGTCGCCGCCGTCGCCGACGTCGCCGGCCGAGATGACCCGGCGGTTCTCCGTGACCGGGAACCCCGAGAGGTTCGCCGGCCACGGGACCATCCGAGGATAGAGAATCCGGCGGCCCGGCGGCCCCGAGCGGCGCGCCTCGACGGACGCCGCCGCCTCAGCGCGGCCGGGTTGCTGGAGTTTGTGCCTGTGCAGTTACGGCGGCTGGAGCC